GCCGCCGCCGCCCGCCGCCCCCGCCACCCCGGCCGCCGCCACCTGGCCGCACGTGCAGCAGCGGCCGCCGCCCAGCGAGAAGGAGCGGAGGGCCGCCGAGGAGCGCCTCAACAAGCTGCGCCTGGACGTCGACAACAAGCGACTCGCCATCAAGAACCTCAAGATGGCCCTGGAGCGCCTCGACATCACAGAGTAAGTCGCAGAGAATGGTGTTGTTGGCCGGGGGTTGGTGTCCCGCAGACTGCTACAACATCAAACTTGTCCCTTCGCAGCAACATCGACGTGCGCATCCAGCAGGCGGAGCTGGAGTACCAGCTGGGGCGTGAGGAGCTCAACCTGCTGTCGCTGCTGGAGGAGACCCGCAACGTGGCCGCCCTGCTGGAGGAGGCGGAGCGGGCGAGGAGCAGCCAGGCCGCCAACACCCTGTACAGGTCAGTGGGTGCGACTCGCACCACACCCGCAGCTCCGGGTTCTCGACTCGCGGCTGACGCACGCTGACGCACGATTCTTTTGTCTCCGGTCCACAGCTGCGTTGGGCCAGCAGGGCGGGCGGGGCTCGTCTCGGTGCAGGTGCAGTACGACCCCAAGAGCCCCCAGTTCGGCGCCGGGCCCCGCGACGACGCGCCCGGCCTGTACGTGCACTGGGCCACCGACACCAGCGGGATGGCCAAAGGCGACAGGTATGTATTTTGTATTGCCGTGGTGCTGCACTTCAGGGTGCTGCTTGACGTCCTGGCGGGCGCCGCGGCAAGCCAGCGCAGTATCGCGCACAGCGCCGTGCGTTGGGTTGCCTACCACCCGGGCGCCCCGAGTCACGAGCCCTGTCGGCTGTTTCAGGGTGCTGGAGGTGAACGGCAAGCTGGTGCTGAGCAAGACCCGCGACGACATGCACCGCCTCCTCGCCGTGTCCCCGGACCCGGCGCAGCTCGTGCTGCTGCGCGCCGCCCCGGAGCAGGACCTGTCCGCGATGTCCGCGCAGCTGTCCGCGGAGCGCGAGCGGGCCCTGCAGGCGGAGCGGTCAGCAGACAGCCTGCGCGCCGACAGCGTCCGCTTGTCGCATCGCATCTCCTACCTCGAGGACCAGGTGTCGGAGCTGCTGACCTGCGGGACGGGGGCGCTGCACGGCTCCACGGCCGGCCCTCAGCGGTCGGCCAGCGCCAACGTGTCCACCGTCATCGTGACGGCCTCCTCGTCGCCCTCCCCGTCCCCGAGCGACGTCCAGCTCTACCAGAAGGGGTCGCAGGTCAGCAGTAACTCCCACCAATACCAAAACAACAACCACACCAGTCAGCAGTACAGCGGCAACAAGCCCCACCGGAGACTCGTATGTCACGCAATAATTTGATTACTGTGCTCAATTCACCAACCGGCACGCAGCACTTAAATGTATCGCACGATTGAACCACTTTTTAGTCAGAGGAACGATTTGGTGGGGAAGTCCCACCAGATCGAAGTGAATTTCAACAGGAGTTTGTCCGGAAATCACTCCTTCCGTACTTGAAAGTCCTTACTGCCTGTTCTGTCTAGACATCAGGTGCGTTCCGTGCGCACCTGGTTTTGGTTTGTTTGTAGTTGTTTGGCACCACCAATGTGTTTACCACACTATCTATTGTTTACACCACCGCACGTACACTCTTTGATTTCGCCTCTCTATCCTTTCTTTCTCGGCAACGCCGTCCGTCCAGAGGGGCTCACGGTTCTCGTCATGGTCCCCGTTGCAGGTGCAGCTCGTGTCCAACCTGCCGCGACTGGAGGCCAGCATGCGCAGCAAGCGCGTGGACAAGGACGACCCCCAGCGGCTGGAGCGGCTGGACCGACTGGAGCAGCGGCTGGAGCGGTCCAGGAGGCAGTCGCACTCCAGCTCCAGCGGCAACCTGAGCCTGCAGCTGGCGCGCAGCACCAACGCCCTGGACGTGTTCAGCGCCGAGTCGCCGCGCGGCCCCGTGCAGCACATCCGGATCCGGCAGTCGGTGAGTACAAGGGCCTGAAGGAGCACCCTCAACACACACCCGGCAAGCAATGACTGACCGTTTCTTCTCTACCCCAACAGCCCAGCCAGTCCGACGGTCTCGCCTCCGATTCGGACATCCGCCGGCCGAGGCGCAAGTCCGAGGCCCACAGCGGCCTCGGCGAGCACGGTACCAGCGGCGGGCGCCACTACCGCAAGCACCACGAGTACTGCAGCTCGGGCGGCGAGGGCGGCGGCGGTGGCCGGCTCGAGGCACGCCCCGCCTCCTCGTCGTCCACGTCGAGGCCGGTGCCGCCCAGGAAGCCGCTGCGCCTCTCGCTGCACCGCGCCGCCTCCCTTCAGTCCGTCGAGTCGGCCCCGCCAGGCTCCGGATCCACCCCCGGGGGCGGCGCCGCGGATAAGAAGGCGCCCAAGCGCAACCACAAGGGGGAGGCGCCTGTGCCGCCGGGGTCCGGCGCGGAGCACCCCGGCCAGCACCAGGCCCAGCCGCAGCAGCCCGCCGGCATCCCCTCCGATGCCCCGCACCCGCACCCCTTCCAGTCCGCCCTGCGGTGGACGGCGCCCTCGTCAGGAACGTCCTCCCCGGCGGCGCACCTCTACCGCAGCAGCGGCAACCTCACCGAGAAGTGGTGCTGAGCGGAGAAAGGAGAGATCTTGTGCTAGCGAACATATGGCATGTGCAATATTCTCTAGTAATTTCAAACTAGAATAAAGTGTTATTTATTCCTTTGCGGCACAAGAACTCCCCTATCTCATCCTCTTTCTCATTTAAAGCCAAATTTTTTAACTGTCACAGGATATCTAACATGT